GAAGACAGTGAAATAGTGGCTGAAGTGGGAAAGACTGCAGGTAAGGGATAGGGAGGAAAATGGGGTAACTGGAACTAGTGAGTGGAGGGAGACTGAGATCAGATGAGGAGCTAACCATAGGAAACTGAAATTGTTTAGACAGGAAGGACATTTTTACATGTGCCCCGGAAGGTGCTTTAATTAACGATCAATTTTAATTAAAAGCATCCGAGTGTAACATGCATCACTAGGATCAGAAGCAGCCTTTTCAGTCCCCCGCACTGAAAAAAGGTGGTGGGGCACTTTGAACTAAAGCTCATTGAACAAGCTTTAGTTCAAAGCACCCCACTGCCATTTTTAAGCACGAGGATGCAAATACATGTGGCACTTTCCTGTGCTCCAGCAGATTCAATTAATCGAGTCTGCTGCCTGCACGTGTATAGGAGTCCTAAGTCTGGAAACTAGTGAAGTTGGAGAATGAAGGTGAGGTGGATTTATCTGATGAGGATACAGCCTATGGCATAGGAATCACTGGGAACTGATAGAGGCTGGGATGAGGAGCTTGGGGTTGGAAACCGAGACTAAACAAGGAATTACCGTATTTACTTGAATAGAAGATGACGCCCCCAATAATTAGATTGCATATATTGAAAATGTATACATTAGTTATACTTTTCCATGTATAGAATCTAATTATTGGAAGTTTACCTTGAATTTGTCCCCCTCCCACTGCTACAGGATGGAAAATAAACCTGGGGGGTTAGGTAGCCCCCTTGCCCTCCCCAACCTCTTCCACCTTCAGCCTCTTCCCACCCTTCCTCTTATCAGACTACTCTCCCTGATTGAGTGGAAATTGGAAGCAAATTTGAAAACAGTGACCTGGAAATAAACATACCTGAAATCATGGAATGGCTGAGAGATAGACAAGGTTTCCTTATATGCAACTGTAAGGTGAGGGGCTATTTCCCTACATTGATTTAAGTAAATACAATAGTCAGTGGCAGAAGTGAGTGTATGGAGGGGGAGGGGGGCAATTGAATTCCAGGGCTGATGAGAAAGACAGATCAAAAGAGAAGATCAAAGGGCGAGAAATCGAGACTTGTTAGGGAAGGGACTCAAATTGTAGTGCAGAGGAAAATGGAAAGCAAGATGGAAATTATAGAAGGAAAAATAGGGATACGCCCCTTTGGCCTCTTTGGTCTAAGGAGGAGGATCTGGAGAATTACAATCAGTCTGACCTCAGTACCTAGGAATCCGTTTCTAAGCACCTGGATACGAATAAGGTGATCAAAAGAAGTCAACACAGGTTTGTTAAAAGAAAGTCATACTTGACCAGCCTGATCTCCTTCTATGACAATGTAATGGGTTTTCATGGGGGGAGGTATGGAATAAACCTTGACTTCAGCACTAGTTTCAACACTGTCTCCCACAACATTCTTGTTACTAAGTTTAAAGAGGCAGTGTAAAGTACTGTAAAGTGGGTGCATAATATGTTCGAAGAATGGTCATCACCGGCTCGAGGTCTAATTGGAGAGAGGTATCAAGTGGGCTCTCCCAGGAATGTATCCTTGGTCAGGTACCTGTTGATTTACTTCATTAATGACTTGCAGGTTGGGATTGATTGCCCAGTTAGCAAATTTGTAGCTGGTCTCTGGCTGTGTGGTCTTGCAGGCAGTTTGGAGGATAGGCTTAGGATTCAGGCTGACCTTGATAAACTGGAAAAAGAGACTCTGGAATTATTCAAATGAAATTCAGTAGGGATAAGAGAAAAGTCCTGCACTCAAGACAGAATAGTTGCATGCACAAATACAGACTGGGGAATGACTGACTAGGCAGCAGTATTTCAGAAAAGGATCTGGGACCTATAGTGAACCATAAACTGAATATGAGTCAGCAGGGCTCATGCAAAAAAAGAAAAAAAAAGAAAAGAAAAATAATAAAAAAGAAACTAGTAGCATACTCAGTTGCATGTAGTATCGCCTGCAAGTCAAGTCTTCCACTCTAGTCAGCACTAATGAAGCCTACCCTGGAGTATTAAAGAAATGATTGAATAAGGCCTATCCTTGGGTGCAGTGGTTAAAGCACTATAGTGGGAAGTTAGAAAGATGTAAATTCAAAACCCCTCTAGGCGAGGAGGCCTAGAACCTAGACTTCCTACATCTTGGGTGCGTGCCCTAACTACTACACCACTGGGCTAAAATATTCCTCCATTTTTGGGGAGCTACAAGTTCTGGACTCATGTTCCCCAAGCTACACTTGAATGGAGCTGCATAACTGTCCAGCCAGAGCACAGCCAGTGGCCACATGGATGCTTGTGTGGCCACATACCACATGGAATAGAATTGCAAACTGCATGTGTGTCACAAAGGCAGTTACACAGCTAGGTAATTGCCATTTAGGCACATAAAATAAGTAAGAATCTACCCTGCATTCAACTGTGGTCAGTGTCTGAGATGGCTAACTGGAACAGTGGCCAGCTCCCGGAAATTAAGGAGATTTGGAATTTCATTTATAGACCTCATATGCCTATGCAGGATAGGGTGCGCTAAGGCCCACTTAGACTATACTCTTACTTTGGATATCCTATTTAAATGGATAAGAAAGTAGGAGGGTCAAGCCTGGAGCCAGCTGCTTAAAGAAATCTCCATCTGGTCTTCAGTCACCTGCATGCCCAAATCAGTTGAATCTCAGATTGCCATCTTCCACTCACCTGTTCTAACCACTCGATCACATGCCAGCGCAGTGGAAGGAGGAAGAAATTCTGCTTTCAGTGGATTTCCTCTCCAGTGGGAGGAGACCCTTATGTAGCAGGCTGTGATGGATGTTTCTTTCCTGTTCTCCAGGTGCAAACACTGAGGTCAGCATGTCTGAATCGTTGTTGCACGTCAGCAAACGGACCGCGTAAATAATTTTTAAAACATGGTTGTAACCATATTTTCTTTTTTTTTTTTTACCTTCCCAGATTCTGCTCGTCTCCAATGGAGGGAAGTTTATGAAAAAGACCTTGATTGGGGAAGCTTATATCTGGCTTGACAAAGTGGATCTTAGGAAAAGAATAGTAAACTGGCACAAACTGTTGGTCAGCTCCACACAAACACATTGAGCAGTTCTGTCTGCTTAGGTCACAAAACCTTGCCGAGTCTGCTATAAACAGCATCACTCCAAGACTATAGTTCGATATCATTGTGTTTAGCTAGGCTTTCAGAATACAAAGTGGGAAAGAGCAGGCTCTGGGCTACATAGCACACTTAAATGAGGGCTAGTAACTTATTTTGCTGCATGGCACAGCAAAGGAAATATCTGGGCCTAGAACTTAAAGTGAGGCTGTTTGCAAAGAAGACTGATAAGAGGGCTCCGCGATGCTGGACTCTTTGTGGCTGTCAAGAACATAACTCTGAAAGAAATAATGAAAGCTTGAGGGGAAGGCATTAATGCACAGAGTTCAGCTGTAGCTGAAGGTAACGTGTCTGAGAGAGTAATCTGGTGTTCTGTGCAACCAGAAGGAAATCATCTTATGCAACAGCACCTAGGGTGATTGACTTTCCAAATCTCACTTTTCAGAAGTGTAAACCATGTTCCTCTGCACCTTAGAATCTCTGATAATTTGTTGTAGTGAGATTGTGCCACAGGACCCAAACTGCAGGCTGTCTGCAGTGGTGGAAACATTATTTAACACTCTGTTTGTGTTTTTTGTTTTCCAAGGAGACTTTCTATGGCTAATGCAGTCAGAATGATTTCATTTTTGTGTGTGTGTGTATTAATGCTGGATGTAAGCTACCATCCTGGAATGTAAAGGGTTAAAAGCACATTGATGAACTATTTTTTGGAGTGGAAAGAGAAGGGACAGGATGGAAATTGCACCAAATGAAGGGGGAAAAATATAGTGATTTTTAAAAAGAAAATTATTAACTACAATTCATTTTACCTATGGGGTCAGCAGTTTATAAAAGCAGGTTTT